AGTGGCATACTCACAGTCACCCCAGAGTCGACCTGCTGGGCTCAGGCGATCCTTCTGCCTCAATCTTTCAAGTGCGCTAACACACCCAGCTAATTTTTTAATTTATTATAGAGATAAGGTCTCACCAAGGTATCCAGGCTGTACTTGAACCTGTGGGCTCAGGCAATTCCCTCACCTCGGCCTCCCAAAGTGCTGGGATTACAGGCTTGAGCTACCATGCCCGGCCTAAGCCTATCTTTTAAAGGCATTCTAAAATCAATTTATTTATATCCTGTCTCATTACAGAAAGATTTGAGATAGAAGACAAATAATTTGCTAATTTAAAACTAATTATCACTAATACACTAAGTTTAAAACGTAAGACCTAATTTAAAAAATAGAAGCTAATGACTATTCTCATATTACTTCTATTTTAAAACTATCTAATACCTTGTTTGAAGATTTCTGCTCCTGAAATATAGTGTACATGAACTCTTGACTAAAACTTTTTAGTAAAAACAATGTTGGCTGTAATGTTTAAAAAATACAATAAAGGCTGGGCTTGGTGGCTCAGCCTGTAATTCCAGCCCTTTGGGAGGCTGAGGCGTGTGGACTGCCTGAGCCCACGGGTTTGAAAACTGCCCAGGCAACTTGGCAAGACCTTGTCTCTACAATAAATCAAAAATTAGCCGGGCGTGGTAGCCCACACCTGTAGTTCTGGCTACTTGGAAGGCTGAGGCAGAAGGATCGCCAGAGCCCAGCAGGTCGACGCTGTGGTGGCCGTGAGCGTGCGTGAGACTCCAACTCAAAAAATAAAATAAAATAAAATATAACTTTAAAAATGCATCCATGAGCTGCCAATAAGGAGTAAGGAGTAAAAGCAACAACCCAGATGAAAAAAAGGAGAATACTGAAGCCAATGTTCACTTTGAACGCATTTAGCTATGATAAAACCAAGCTTTGGTTCTAAGACTTCTGCAAGTTTCCAGGATGAAAATCAAAGGTCAAGGTCTACCAGAAACTGAGACTTGAAAGGCCACGGCCGCAGTGTAAGTGGGAACTCAAACCAGTTTCTGCACTGCTAGGAAGCAAGGATGACTGGCAGTCTCAACCTACACCTGTCTAAATTCATATCTATTTCAAACCATGGCACTGCAGGGGCAAGGTAGTAACAAAATAAATCTCTTTTGAAAACTCTTTATCTTAAATTAACCCTACCAAAGATAGGCTAGGCACCTGAGATAAGCAACAAATCTCTGGATGAACCCAACTCCAATTTAAGCCTCAAATAATCTCTAAAGTTTCCAGAAATACAAGCCCATGGTCAAACAAATCATGAGGCATATAAGAATCAAAGAATCACGAGAGAAAGCTAGCAGAAATGACAGCAAAGCAGATTTTAAAATATAGATATCTATTTATTAGATATTAGAATTTAGATAATCAGAATAATCTTCCAAAAATTAAAAAATAAGTATGTTAAAAATGTTTAAAGAAACACAATGAGATTGAAAATATAAGCAAAGGGCAAGACTGTAAAAAAAAAAAAAAAACTTCAGCCGGGCTCAGTGGCTCAGCCTGTAATCCCCGCGCCTTTGGGAGGCTGAGGTGAGTGGATTGCCTGAGCCTGCGGGTTTGAGACCCACCTGGGCAGTGAGACCTCATCTCTACAATAAATCAAAAAATCAGCCAGGCATGGTAGAGCATGCTTGTAATTCCAGCTACTTGGAAGGCTGAGGTGGAAGGATCACCGGAGCCCAGCAGGTCGAGGCTGCGATGGCTGGGAGCGGCCACTGTACTCTAGTCTGGGTGATAGAGTGAGACTCCAACTCAAAAATAAAAAAATAAAAGAATAAAAAAACTTCCAATATACAAGAAATAAAAAATTAAAATGTAAAAACTGAATGGACTGATTTAAGAGATTTCGCCAAGAAAACGGGAAAAACTTGACAAAATTATCTAGAAACACACACATAAAAACAAGAAACATGAACAGTTAAGAGAAATGGAGTCCCAAAGGAAGTCAAATGTAACATCCAATCAGAGTTTCTACAAGGAGAAGAAAGAGAACGAGACAAATGTAATATGCAAAGATATGGCTAGAAATCTTCCAGAGCTGATGAGAAACACGTCTAAGATTTAGGAAATGCTACAACCTGCAAATTCTTCTTCTTCGTTTTTTTTTTTTTTACTTGGGGTCCCACTTTGTTGCCCAGGTCGGAGTGCAGTTTCTGGATCATGGCTCACCACAGCCTCCTAGACTCATCCATCTGCCTCAGCCTTCCAAGTAGCTGGAACTACAGGCATGCACCATTACACCTGAATTATTTATTTTTTTGTAGAGACAAGGTCTGGCTATGTTGTACATGCTGGCCTTGAACTCCTGAGCTCAAGCAATCCTCCCTCCTCAGTCTCCCAAAGTGCTGGAATTATAGGTGTGAGCCACCACACCTAGTCTACAATTTGTAAATTTGATAAATAAAAAGATATCCACATCTAAATATATCACAATGAAACCACAGAATACAAAACAGACAAAGAAGATACTAATGACAGCCAGAAAGAAAAGACATAACTTTTAAAGGAACTACAATTACAGAGAGATGACTTCTCAATAGCAATAAAGGAATGAAGAATAAAGAAAGTAGTAATAATATTGACTATATAAAACAACAATATTATTTTGTGGAATTCAAATATTGCTACAAAAGAACTAAAGTCAGAGACGAGAGGGCCGTCTGAGCACACGGGTTTGAGACCCGCCTGGGCAACTTAGCGAGACCTCATCTCTACAATAAATCAAAAAGTATCGGGCATGGTAGTGTGCACCTGTAGTTCCAGCTACTTGGAAGGCTGAAGCAGAAGGATCACCTTAACCCAGCAGTTTGAGGCTACGGTGACCATGAACATGCGACTGCACTCCAGCCTGGGTGGCAGAATGAGACTCTGACTCAAAAAAAAAAAAAAAAAAGAACTAAAGTACACAATACCAGCATTATAAATAAGGAGAAGGATGATCAGAGTTGAATTATTTTAAGGTCTTTATATTGTTTAAAAAGAAGATTACGATCTCAGTTAACTTTTAGCTTTGACAAGTTATATACACTAAAATTTCCTGGGTAAGAACCAAAAGATTATGAACATATCTTACAACTTACAAATTTTAGAGGGAATAACAAGAAGGAATCCATTAACAACAAAATAAAATCAAAAGGTGGACAGATAAAAATATTTTTTAAAAAATTAAAAAGTGAAAAATGTAAGCTGGGAGAGTGCCAACTACTGGGGAAGCTGAGGTGGAAGGACAGCTTGAGCCCAAGAGTTAAAGTCCAGCCTGGGCAACATAGTGAGACCTCATCTCTTTAAAAAAAGAGAGAGAGAGAGAGAGAGACAGAGAGAGAGAGAGAGAGAGAGAGAGAGAGAGAGAGAGAGAGAGAGAGAGAGAGAGAGAGAGAGAGAGAGAGAGAGAGAGAGAGAGAGAGAAAGTTAAATAGAAAGTAGAAATTTAGATGGCAGGAATACTCAAAACATAATGGTAATTACTTAAATTATAAAGAGTTGAAGTACTCTAGGAAAAAAGTAACAACTATAAACTGGAATAACAAAAGTTCAGTTCATATATTTGCTGTTTATAAGATATACATCACCACTAAAAGGATAGGAAAAGGTTGAAAGTACAAAAGTGGAAAAAAACTAGGTAAACACTACAATAAAGCTAGAGTTAGATGGTGGTGATGGGTGTAAAATTTTTGTAAATAAGTGAAAGCCTCTTAATTCTACATTTTAAGAATATGAATTATAGCTCAAATTTTAAAAATATATATAGTCTTAAGAATAAATTTAACAACTTATTTTTAGAATCTTTATGGTGGTAGCGTATGTCTATAGTTCAGGCTACTTGGAAGGCTGAGGCGGAAGGATCTCCTGAGCCCAGCAGATCAATGCTGGGGTGGCAGTGAGTGTGCCACTGCACTCCAGGCTGGATGACGGAGTGAGACTCCAAAAAAAAAAAGGAATCTTTATGAGCCGGGCTCGGTGGCTCAGCCTGTAATCCCACGCCTTTGGGAGGCTGAGGTGAGTGAATTGCCTGAGCCCACGGGTTCAAGACCTGCCTGGGCAACTTGGTGAGACCTCATCTCTACAATAAATCAAAAAATTAGCCGGGCGTGGTAGCGCGCGCCTGTAATTCCAGCTACTTAGAAGGCTAAGGCGGAAGAATCGCCGGAGCCCAGCAGGTCGAGGCTGCAGTGGCCGGGAGCAGCCACTGCACTCCAGTCTGGGCAACAGAGTGAGACTCCAACTCAAAAAAAAAGAATCTTTATGAAGAAACATTTACAGTTTTACTAAAAAACACTGAAGAAGACTTAAATAAATAAAGACAGAGTCAAATTCATAGATTGGAATAGACAATATTATGTAAATTTTTCCCAGTATAATCTACAGTCATTGCAATTCCAATAAAAATTACAGCAAATTTTTTTGTGCTTGTTGACTTAACACATTAATTTTAAAATATTTAAGAAAAGGCAAAAGGCCAAGCAATTCCCTTAGTATTATTCTTTTTTTTTGCTTTGAAGATGCTTTCTTTTAAGAAAGCAATTCTTTTTTTTTTTTTTGGTATTAACTTTATTCTATTTTCTGTATAACTTAAAGTACATAAAGGTTTACTTCCACAGGCCTCAGGAAATGGGTAGAAGTCACAGGACAATCTCTCTTCCCACCAAAAAAAGTTGCATATTTTGGTAAGTGTCCCAGAAGGGAGAAACTGGAATTTTTCATTAGCAATGCAGTACTAGATTCTTAAATAAATCAAGACCTAAAACCAGCCTGCAGTGGAGGTTTTCGTCCTCTGTTCAGGTGCCTGGACAGAAGCCATAAGCATGACAGTGAAAAGGAGGCAGTGAAGATGGATGACAGGCAACTAGCTGGGAAGGAGGAAGGAATGCCAGACTCCTTGGATTGGTGTGTTTGTTTTTCTTTTAAAATTATCTTTGAAGGAAGTTGCTAGGCATAGATCCCAGAGAAAGAAGGGGTCCAAGACTCCTTTAACTGCCCTGGATAAAGGGCACTGCTACAGCAGCTGGTACAAGAGAACCTCCTATCTCATGGCGGAGGCAGACCCAGGGTGGAATGCAGAATAAGAGGAATGCTTATGGGAAACAATTTTGCTTGGAATGCTAGATGGCCAAGCCTCAGCCCTTGGTCCAGTGCAACGCTTGCCTTGCTTATCAACACCGAAAAATGAGTTTGGTTAGAGGAACCATCTGGAATCATACCAACTCCTGCTACCTTCATGCTCATTATTAGAAAAAGGTTAGTGTGAACATTCTGATCTGTTAATTCCTGGGACTGTTTTAGTCTCCCAAAGGACTGTTGGTAGAATTGCCCCCAAAAGCTGAAAGCTAAAATGCATCGGTTCTGGTCTGTAGTTCCTTAAGAATGGACTGGCAGTGTGGTTGAGCTGATATGGAAAAGCTGCACCATTCTGCAGAAGATCAACTGACCTGCTACCCTAACCCCAAATCTCAGCCTCAGGTATATTTCAGTGAAGGCAGGTAGCTGTGCTTCTCAGCAGAGAAGCAGTTTAAGAGCAGAAAGGTAGAGGAAAATCTAGAAAAGAACCGTCTTGATACAGATTTATCCCATGGTGTGAAGGGAGGGCAAAGAATCCAGTGGCACTTCACTTATCCAGCAATTTCTGTCACTGTGGTGACCAACTTCTGCCCATTCCATAGGGTCTTAAACTGCTCAGGGACTGGAAACTCATTAAAGTCTCCATCTTCTATAGGAATGAGGACGTTCATCTCTGAAGATTTGGCACTATTTCACAATCCAGGGAATTCTTACTCAGGTAAGCATGGCAGCCATCTGTTTTGTTGATGGAAATGGTTGGCACTTTACCCATGACCTGAACTTTGACATCCCTACTATTGATTATCTCCACAATGCCCAGGACGTCATCGAATACCAGACCAAGTTTCTTACAGTTATCTACTGTAATGGAGTTAATTTTGCCCTTGATTTGCAATGTTGTATTGACACACTTGTATATGTAAGCCACCTGTTTCAGTTCTGTGTCATCAATCACCAGGTTGGAAACATTCTCCTGATTTCCCACTCTCCATTTCTTGCCCTCCAGTTCAAGTAGAGCTGGTTCCTTCTTTGTAGCTGGTTTGGGTGAGGGGCTGGTTTGGGGTTTCGGTGCAGAGAATGGCTTGGGGCCGCTGCGTACTGGACCACTCTGAGCCTTTAGGGCAGGGTTCTTGTGAGTCTTCATGTCATCAGATATATGTTTCAGATATATGATATATATATCATATATCTGATCCTCTCCCCCTGATTAATCTGCACAAACAGTGCTGAGCGGGAAGCTAAGTCATCTGAGCCTAAACTGGTGGAGACTGGAGGAGGAGGTGGGCCTGGTGGGGGAGGAGGAGGACCTGGTCCAGCAGAGGGTCCAGATGGCAATCCCCTCAGTTCTTTTGCCACAGGTTCCGTTTTGCTCCCGGCCAGTCCGGTGGTATAGAACTCCTTAATGTAGGCCTGCAGCTCTGTCCATATACTCAAGTAAGCTTTGACCCAGTCTACATGCTTCTTATCCACATCTTTGTTCTCCTTGAGGACTCGGTTTGTATAAAACATGGCAGCATCATTCAATTCTTTCACATAGGGGCCAGGCTTGGGAGCCATAGCCACATAGCCCAGGGCCTGGATACTAGAAAGCAATTCTTAATGTGCTTTTCTTACCAGAGTAAAAAATTATAAATTAGTGGTAATTAAGAAATAGAATGATGCAGTAATAGATAAGCTGGCCTGTGAAACAGAATAAAAAGAAACAGATCCATGAGCACATGGAAATGATGACAGCATTGACACTGCAGACAAATTCAGAAAGGATGGTGGTGATAATATCTGTGGGAGAAAAAACAGATCTCTGTCCTCATAAAAGACAAAAATCAATCAATCCCAACTACATTAAAAGCTTATATGTGAAAAACAAAACTACAAAACTTTAGAAGAATATATACTAATTTTTGGGCAGGAGGAATTTCTGAAACAAGACACAAAGAATAAACCAAAAACTTAAAGACTGATAAATTTGATTCTATTAAAATAAAAAACTTAAATTCATCGACACCATAAAAAGAGTAAAAAGACAGTGGGAGAAAATATTTGAAACACACATAATCAAAAAAGGATTAGTATCTAAAATATTTTTAAAATTTCCAAAGCTGGGTGTGGTGGCACACGCCTGTAATTCCAACTACTTGGGAGGGTGAAGCAGAGGATCGCTTGAGGCCAAAGTTCAAGACCAGCCTGGGAAACATGGTGAGACCCTAACCCTAAAAACATTAAAAAAAAAAATTCTATGCAATACTATGAGAAAATGACGGATGGTACTGGGAAACTATGGGGGGGGATGGGATTAACAGTAGCAAATATCTGTCGGGGGATGGGAAAACACTTCTTATCTACAGGGTGCCTGAATGAAACGTCATTGTACACCTAACCCTTAACTGTACCCCACAAAACCATAATAAAAAATACTGATTAATGAAAAAAAAAAAAAAAATTCTAAAAATATATATGAAAATTACTAACAACCCAAGAGAAAAATGGGCAAAAGATTAGAGCAGACACTTTACAGAATAAACAAGAATGGCCATAATCACATGAACTCTTTACTCTTTACTAATACGAGAAATGCAAACTCAAATCACAAAGAGAAACCACTACTCACTTGCCAGATTGATAAATATTAAAAAGCCAGACAACGTTTGTATACTAACCCTGCATGATCAACGTTTGTATACTAACCCTGAATTGTACCCCATACCTTTACAATAAAAATTTAAAAAATGAAAAATAAAAAGCCAGACAATGATCAAATCAGATACCTTCCAAATTTGATACTTTCTTACCTTATAATAGGCCTTTGCGTTGTTAAAAAGCAGTTGGAAGTCAGCAGTCAGCAGATTAACATCATCATACTCTTCCATTTTTAGTTTCTGTTGGATTTTCATCAAGTCAATGGGCTGAGAAACCACTTCATAATAGTCTGGTTGATTTCTGTCATAATTTAATATATTTTTTAAAAAATGATATTAATCCAAAGCCTATAAAAAGTTATATTTCAAAACTATCTGTGGTGATGTCCAACATTCCAAGTGACATAACATAATTAGAATCTTTCATGGACTTTGAATTTTGTCAAAAAAAAAAAAAAGCCAGGTCAGTGGCTTAGCCTGTAATCCCGTGCCTTTAGGAGGCTGAGGTGAGTGGATTGCCTGAACCCGCGGGTTCGAGACCTGCCTGGGCAACTTGGCGAGACCTCATCTCTACAATAAAAATCAAAAAGCCGGGTGTGGTAGCGCGCGCCTGTAGTTCCAGCTACTGGGAAGGCTGAGGTGGAAGGATCGCCGGAGCCCAGAAGGTTGAGGCGGCGGTGGCCGGGAGCAGCCACTGTATTCCAGTCTGGGCGACAGAGTGAGACTCCAACTCAAAAAAAAAAAAAAAGAATGAATGTGCCACCAGGCTCACTCCCATTATAAGAACTAAAAGAAAATAAAAATATATGCCCTTTTCAAAATATGTTATGATACAAAAACCTAAATTAATGTTTGTGATGATCTTTTATATGCTTAAGTTTGGGCACCAGCTCTATACTCACATCAACGGTATCTATTAAAAATGAAGATTATTTACTTTTCATGGTGCTTAGAAGTAGCTGAAAACAAATACATGTTTCCAACCTCTTTATAAACTTTAAAAATTTATTATTTCTTCAGTTAGTGACCACAGAAACATTTTCTGCCAAATACTATCAAGTGCCAATTACTTATGCTACTTTAATATCAATTACTAAAATTACAAAGAAGAAAAAGGATGTCCTTGGCTTAAGGAGCTTATTACCAAAGATGAAAAGACAAGACATATCTAAACATGATCAAACTGTTGTAAAAAAAAAAAAGAAGAATGATAAACACAAAACTCAGGAGGGGAAAGATAAACAAGAACACAGGAAATTTCAAAGGTAATTACAATAATTTCTTAAAATAATGTATTAAAGCTGGGCTCAGTGGCTCAGCCTGTAATCCCGTGCTTTGGGAGGCTGAGGTGAGTGGATTGCCTGGGCCCACGGGTTCGCGACCCACCTGAGCAACTTGGCAAGACCTCATCTCTACAATAAACTAAAAAATCTGCCGGGTGTGGTAGCGCATGCCTGTAATTCCGGCTATTCGGAAGGCTGAGGTGGAAGGATCGCTGGAGCCCAGCAGGTCCAGGTTGCAGGGGCCGGGAGCGGCCACTGCACTCCAGTCTGGGCAACAGAGTGAGACTCCAACTCAAAAAATAATAATAACAATAATGTATTAATACAATTTAAGGACTTATAATGATAATTTCTTATGTTCCCAAAAGCTTTCTTGGGTTTACGGGCGTTTATTTCTCTTTCTGGTTTGCTTTCCTTTTTTTTGAGTCAGAGTCTCACTCTGTTGCCCAGACTGGAGTGCAAGGGCACAATCACGGCCACCGCAGCCTCGACCTGCTGGGTTCAGGCGATCCTTCCACTTCAGGCTTCCAAGTAGCTGGAGCTACAGGCATACGCCACCATGCCTGGCTAGTTTTTTGATTTATGTAGAGACAAAGTCTTGCCATGTTGCCCAGGCTGGTCTCGAATCCCTGGGCTCAGGCAATCCTCTCACTTCTGCCTCCCAAAGTGCTGGTATTAGAGGCGTGAGCCACTGTGCCTGGATTTTGGCTTTTTACAAATAGAGTTCCATGACACACGTAAACCTTCTGCAAAATTATCTGAGTGACTATTTTCTCAATTCTCCCAATAGGGGTAGGTATTTAATTTCAATCTAGTTACATAAAAGATAAATTATTACAAAGAAGGTCATGGTCAGTAAGGCTTTAATCTCTTAGGACCTTAGCTGACAAGTTATGGTCATTCTTTTGGTATGTATAATATATTAAATTATACTTCTTGTTCTGACTTAAAAGATGTAAAAACAGTATTTTTTTGTGAATCATTTGAATTCAACCATTTGAACCTTCAAGCTGTGTGACATGATGCCTCATCACTCCTGATGGTTTAGTATATATTCTCTACAAACAAGGACTACAATTCAATCATTAAAATCAGGAAATAAACGTTAATATAGCACTGTTGAACCTTGACCTGTGTGGGTCTACTTATACATGGATTTTTTTTCAACCAAATGCAGATTGAAGACTGATGCTTTCGGTGGCATTAGGGTACTTTCCCAGAATGAACATTAGAGCCTTGCTGAAAAAAAAATTTTTTTTTGAGTTGGAGGTCTCACTCTATCATCCAGGCTGGAGTGCAGTGGCACAATCATGGCTCACTGCAGCCTCAGCCTTCTGGGCTCAAGAAATTTTTCCACCTCAGCGTGTGCCAACATGCCCAGCTTTTTAAAATATATATATATTTTTTATTTATTTATTTATTTATTTATTTTGAGTTGGATTTTCACTCCGTTAACCAGCCTGGAGTACAGTGGCCGCTCCCAGCCACCGCAGCCTCGACTCGCTGGGCTCTGGCGATCCTTCCACCTCAGCCTTCCGAGTAGCCGGAATTACAAGCATGCGCTACCACGCCCGGCTGATTTTTTGATTTATTGTAGAGATGAGCTCTCGCTGCCCAGGCGGGTCTCGAACCCACGGGCTCAGGCAATCCACTCACCTCAGCCTCCCAAAGGCTTGGGATTACAGGCTGAGCCACCGAGCCCGGCTTTTTTTTTTTTTTTAATTTTTGTAGCAATGTTGCCTAGGCTGGTCTCGAACTCCTGGGCTCAAGCAATCCTCCCACCTCAGCCTCCCAAAATGCTGTGATTACAGACATGAGCCACTACGCCTAGCCGGGCTTTGCTAATTTAATGCCCTGATGGCCCTCTCCACCTGGGTCTCCTAGGTCACAGTTCACATCTCCTTGCTGAGGCAAGGCCACAGCAGCTTCTTAGGCTCAGGGGATTATCCGTAGACAATTAAGAACTCAATGAGGACATACATGTGCCTAGTGAGTACACTATCCCCCAGAAACACAGCTACAAGGTTCATCACCAGCATTTTCAGCATTATCACACAGAAAAAGGAAAGATTAGGGTCCCAACATTCCACTCTATGTAATATGCTAAAAACAAAAGTCTCCCTACTTTCAAAATGAAATAGCTCTATTGATTTTTCTACTTAAACAAAACGTACAGAAAACCATTTAAAAAACAAATTCATCCCCATAATCCAGAGCTAATAGCACTAGTTGTATTTCTATAAATATTCTTCCAGACTTCTCTCTATGCACATGTACACATAAACCAAATTTAACATAAACAGGATACTGCAGTACATGTTCTTCCAAAATAGCTTTTCTCTTTCAATAATAGGTGAGGGCACTCTACCATAATATGGCTGCAAAATAGTCATAACAGAATTGAATTTTTAACCAGAAGTAAGAAATACTAGCCCCAGTATGCAGAGCCTGTTGGCTACCCCGACCCCATTCTCTCTTCTTCCCAGATGACAGCATTTTAAGCTGTTACATGGCTACTAAATACATATTCTCAGTCAGGCACGTTGCACGACTGTAGTGCTACTAGGTATTCAGGAGGCTAAAGCAGGAAGACGGCGTGTGCCCAGGAGTTTGAGGTCTTAGTGCACTACAATCATGCCTGCAATAGCCACTGCACTCCGGCGAGCCTGGACAACACAGAGAGACTTCATCTCTTAAAAAAATTCCCTAAAAGACCATATTTCCCAGTCTTATTGCAGTTAGGTTCTTGCCAATACAAGAGGTGCAGTGTGCCATGTTCAAGTCATGTCCTTAACATGCTTTCTTTTTCCTACTGGATGGAAGGTAGTTATGGTGGTAAGTCATTTTGAGACCACACATTCAAGGGTGATATCACAAAGACAGCAGAACAGAGAGAGAATAGTACTTGAACCCTGAGGACTTCACAGAATAAGGACTTTTACACAAGAGAAAGAAATTTCTCTCTTGTTTCAGTCATTGTTAATTTGGATGTCTTACTGCAAGAAGCCTAATACATTAACCAAAATAAAGTATCAAAATGAGATTCACAAACTGCATAGCTCTGAGCAATACTACTTTCCATCAACACTTGAGAAAACATATGCATTCCACAGATGAGGGTCAGAGATATCTCACCCTAGGGCACAGGATTCAGTGAGAAGTACCACATCCTCAAGGTTGCAACATGACAATGCTTCAGCACCCAAGGCCTGTATTCTATGCCCCTTAGCATTAGCCTGCTGGTGAAAAGCAGGCAGCAGAAAGAGTATGAGGGGTTTTGTATACTCTAGTTTGATGCTGCTACTCTACACCACAAAATGTTTAAGAGCACAAGCTTTAGAGTCAGAATATTTGAGTCTGAATTCTAGCTATCTTTAGTAGTTATGATAACTCTGTGCAAGTTCTCACCTATAAACTGTGATAAAACCTCGTAAGTTTAAACAAAATATGGTCTGGAAAATGCTTGGTACTTTGTCTAGCAAGTGGTAAATAATAAAAATATGCTTTTATTACCTAATGCTAATTAGATAACTTCTAGAAGACTATAATTGATAACTCAAATCTAGGAATAGATACCTTATTTTAAAACTAGCTCTTCCTTTTGGGCCATGACTAATTTACACGGATCCACTCTTTTGAGGAGTAATTACTAAGCTCGATTTAGAGCTTGTTAGCTACCCACCATAGCATCAACAATCAGGAATGGACCTAAACCTTTTGTCGACTCTTTGCAGTTGCCTATATA